TCTCTCTCTCTCGGGTCTTTTGGCGGGAGGTCTGTGTGTTTGGGTGTGTGGTTTCTCTCCTTTTCCTGAGTCCTTTTGGTGGGGAGTTGTGTGTTTGTGTGTGTGATTGTACGTGTGTTCCCCCTGTTCTTTTGGGTCCTTTCGGGGGCAGGTTTATGTGTTTGCGTGTATGTGTCTTTCCATGGGGAAGGGTGCTTCTTCTTTCCATGCTTTGGGGGTCCTTTGGCAGGAGGTTTGTGTGTTTCGTGGCCCTGGGAAAAGGAGTCTTTCTCTCCTTTTCCTGAGTCCTTTTGGTGGGGAGGTTGTGTGTTTGTGTTGAGTGTGAGGCACTGGGGAGAGAGGGGCTGCTTCTCCCCTTTCTGGGTTTTCAGTCGGAGGGCTCCCCCGTGGGGAAATCTCTGCCTGGCTAATTGTTTCGTTAATGAGGTGCTGCTGCCACATGAAGCCCACCCCAGAGAGTTTGGATTTTTGTTTGTTTGCGCCTCTCCTTGGGGTTTTATGTTATTGGGGTTGATAGTGTGTTGTTTAGGGTGTCTTCTTCCCACTCTTCCTTCAGGAACAGGATTAAAGGTATGGTCAGAAAGATGGATTTCATAAATGGCTTACTGATTCTGAATGCCTTGCTCTGGAAAAAGAGACTTTAAAATTCCACATTTTACACACTGTAACAAAACGGCTTGCTTGCTGTTTGAGGCACAGAAGATTAGACAGATTGCTCTGATTTTAGAGATTGAACGTATCAATTAAGGTTAACAATTGTCCTTTCATCTTTGGGATCACCAGCTGCAAAGGGAAAAGTTTTAGCTGTTTTGGTCTGATTTGATTTCACCAGTTTTTAGATTTGAAGGTCAATCCAAGCATATTGATCAAACAAGGAAACTTGAAAGACCAGCAGAGTAGTTGGCTTTACAACATTTAAACCTGTCTTTTCTGATTCACATGACCAGAACTTCCTTGTAAAATAAAATTGTGACTAGTAAATGTTTGATAAAACTGCATTGAGCTAGATTTTACAGTTGGGCAGGAGCAGAAGAAAAATGATGTCGATGGTTTCTTGGAGGTTAGTTTTGCAAAACTTAAAATTGTGATTAGACTTGTTTTTCAGACACTTTGTTGAGATATGTATGGCAGGAGGTTGGACTTGGTGGCCCTTGTGATCTCTTTCAACTCTGATTCTATGTATGTTGAAGCTGCCACAGCAAACATGTGCTTTCTTTAAGCATTTGAATATATTTGCTCTCTCCTACAGAGAGGATTGCTGGTTTGTTCTGTGCAAGCACTGTATTTTGCAGAAATAAACAAGGTTGTTAATTAAAAAAAAAACTAAGTAGAACATTTTATTTGTGAACACACAATAGTGGCTTTACTAGCACCAGTAACACAAAATTGGGTTGTGGCTATATTAATACAGGCTTAGATATATTTTTATGAAAGTATTTTAGATCCAAGTTATTTGTTTTACCCCTGTATATTACAAATGCTTACTTATACTTGTGCCATGTTTACAGATAGCATTGAGGATGTCATGTGGTTTCACTGGTGTGTATGATAGTTATTACTTTATCCCCAGAAGTGCCCACCCGTCTCACTATGATCAAGGTTTTGTTACATTTTGCGGGTGTCATAGAGTGGAGAATGTTGTATGTTCAAAAGTTTTTGTACTTGTGAAAAGGCTTAGGGCCTTTACAGACTGCCAGAAATAGTGCAGCTTGAGGCCACTTTAACTCTTCTGGCTGAGCACTAAGGAATCATGGGAACTGTAGTTTATTGTGGCATCAGAGCTCTCTGACAGAGAAGGCTCAATGTCCCAGAAAAAAAAAATACAATTCCCATGATTCTCTAGCACTGAGCCAGGACAGTTAAAGTGGCCTCAAGCTGCATTATTTCTGGCCGTCTGTAAAGGCCCTTAGTTGAGTGTCAAATTATCTGCTTTGTAAAATAGTGTTCTATTTTCTCTCACAGAGCCAACACAAATATATAGATTTCTACGTACCCGCAATCTTATAGCTGTGAGTAACTATTAATTATTGCCTCGAATTTTATACAACCATTTATGGCAACATTCAGTTGACCTTTTTCCTTTCTATTGCAGCCAATATTCTTGCACAGAACTCTCACTTACATGTCCCACAGAAACTCCCGAACAAATATCAAAAGGTAAACTCACTCTTTAAAAAAAGGCACATTGTTTAATTTGCTAAAGTCCCTTCCCCTTCGAATAAATGAGCTGATTATAGTAGATAGAATAGTGTGCAATTCACATGCAGTATGAATTGTATCTATCTGAAACTGGAAGTAAAAGTCTTGTGATGGATGTTCAGCTGGAAATATACATAATGACAACACAACATGCAGTTATGTAAGATGCTGTCCTGTATTTGTCTTAAATTGCCACTTGGTTTGGTCTTCAGTGTGAGGTTGTTTGAAGACCTGCTTTCTTGATGTTTAGGAATGAAAAAAATACAGCTTTGTGCTGCTAAAAAGGGTTAAAAGATTACAGACTAATAAATAAGTATAGAACTGGTAAAACAAGGAAGTAATTCAGTGTTTGCTAGTTACCATTGACTAATGCTTGTTTAACTTGTTGTGATGCTATATGATGTCATATTGCCACTCTTCAGCTAAGTGTGGCTGATGCCTTTTAATACTAGCTTCTCAGTATAAAACATGTATTGATAACATCTGGTAAGTTAAACAAAAGATCTGGTAGTGCTTGCCTTGAACTGTTCTTGTTTGAGCAATCAGTTACTCAAAATACTAATACACTCTAAAATAATTAAAACTGCCTGTAGCTTTGCTTCCTTACAGCTTGGTGTTATCTGAAAAGGTATAAGGATTAACTTTGCAATTGAACTTGAATGGAATTAGAGGTGCAAAACATTATTTAAGTCAACAAGATCCAAAATGGATGTACAGAGCAGAAAGAGCACAGAAGTAGTAAAGTGCAAGACTTACACAGTTTGAAGGAATGGTGTATGTTTGTACAAACAGATACAGTG